AAAAAAAGAATAAGTATACATATTTACCAATAATTGCATTTTGTGATGATCATTAAAAAATAATCGTTTTGAAAAAAAATAATATTTTTTTTGCAAAATTATATAAATGCCGGCTATCCTCTGGTGGACGGTGGGTTTATTCTTCTGACTGGTATCGAGTACGGTGTGTTCTCAATCGCGTACTCGTTACGTATTCGATTAAATTCTCGAACTTTTTTTCCATTTCGTGTATTTCGTGTCACGAAAATCTTCCTAAAAGAGTATCGTTCGAAAATCTTCTTCCAATTGGAATTAAGAATGAAACTTTTAAATCGTGTATTTTTTTTCGTATCATTTAGTGAAAAATATGCACATCATACAAGACATAGATAATGTAGATAATTATTATATAATAAATTTATTTATAAAAAGTTTAAATTGTACAATAGAAGAAAAGGTACAGTCAAACTCATCTAAATGAATCTCCTTTAAATGCATAACTTCTCTTAATGCATATTATTAGTTTGATCTCGATGGCAGGACTTGTATGATTATCGCATAATCCTTTGAATTGAAATTAATTAAATTTTCTAAACGCATATAACGCATGATATATATAATATTAAGATTAATAAACTAGGAGTTTGAACAAAAAAATGTCCAAGATGTCCAGTACTGCATACTACTATTTTTTAATTATAAAAAAAAAATAAAAGTAAAGAAGTTTACAATTTCGGAAGGAAAAATATTTCACGATTACTTTCTCTGATTGGTGGAAGATCACGTAATTTGTTCATTGATATGTGCTTCTTTAATGCATACAAATTTCATGGTCCAGACGGTATGCATTTTAGAGTAGTTTGACTGTGTTTTATAAATATATTTATGAATAATTAAATGAACAAAAGAAATAATAATAAAGAAGAGTATGTCTGATAATAATCTATTCTATTGAAATAGTAACAAATACGCAGTACTGATGGGAAAAAACCTTATCATAATGATAATGAGTGAATGTTTTAGCCAAGACACACGACGTTTCTTAGATCACATGTTAAACTTTACGGATAGAAATGAATTGGCTTTTCAAGAGGGACTAAAATAAATAATTAATAAGTTTATAAATAAATTTATTAAATTGGCTAATTATATCTGCACAGTGGATAGTTCAGATTATATTAATTTTCGGTCTACGTTATTAACTAGGGAGCTTTATAATAAATAATTATATTGTGATTTCAATTAATAAAACAAATGATTATACGAGTTATTTAGATTAATCTTATTTAAGTATAAAGATTTTATATAAATTTTTTCTCAAAACAATTTTTTTTCCATCAGGAAAATTTTTTTTAATTTAGCTAAATTTGTTAATGCTAATTAATGCAAAGTTTTAATAAAGAAAAGATGGGAATGAGTTTCAAATGACAAAGGAGCTTTCTGATTCCAAATTTAAATTGCGGGAATTTGGCAGGAATTATTGGGAGTATCTCTGCCTTTTGAGCTTATTTTTTATTTAATGACACAAATTTTTAAGTCTAAGTATTAAATAACGCATTGACCGATATTATCTAGTCAAACCAAGTAAAAAAAACCTGTCTATCGATTAACCAAAGTAAAAAAAAATCTTAACCAATTTTGGAATAATCAAGGTACAACATTATTATTCAATTTAATATTATGGTTAGTAAATTTTTTCAGGGTCTTAATTTTTTTATTCACATGACACCTAATGTTATTATCGCATACACCCCAACGGTGAGGATTTTAAATAATGGGGAAATAAACAGAATGATGATAAATATTTTGGGTCTCATTGTGAAATTATAATTATGCATCATGACACTCCTATACTAATATATAAAAAAAATAAGTATAAAAAATAAATTTGGTTACTTTTAGTTTAGTTTATTTTTGTGCTAAAAAACTATGAATTCTTACATGATCACGTTACTTGTTTGATATTTAACTTTATATGAACTTTGACTTATTTCTTATGTTTATTAAGCATAAATTATCATAAATGGAATAAAATTATAAAATTAGAATAAATGGAATAAATTTAGAGTGAGAGAATAACTCCAACTAAACTATTCCTATTATTCTTATTTATTAAACATACCAAAAACTGTTATCGTAATTCAATGTTATACAATAAGATGATAAACTAGAATCAAAGAGTTCGATACTAAATCAATACATCAATCAAAGAATTCGTACATTAATCAAAGAATTCGATACTAAATTAATACATCAATCAAAGAAAAATGATACCAATTCTAGAATTACTAAACTTTATTATGGTCTTTGATTTATGAGTTGATGGTTAGAAAACAAAGAAATTGTAAGAAAGAAGATTATCATGTCAAATTACTTGAGTCACTTTTTTTAAGGTTTGCTCACAAAATCTTTTTTTGGAGGAATGCATTTTTATTACCTATAAGATAGTATATCGGGTATTTATTATGTTTCAACAATCCTTAAAATAGAATTCCTAAATGAGTTTCCACTATTTGTTTGCAGTAAATTTATTCGTTTCGTTGCTGTGTAATATTTAATATTTTTATTGATAGATCTTTATTTTATGTTATATTATATATAATATTTTTTTTTTATATGACTAGCTTAACAAGTTATGTATGCCCAAATTGAGAAATTTAATTGAGAAATTTAATTGAGAAATTTAATTGAAATTTAGAAGAATCCAAAATGAATTTATTTGTCGTACGGTTTTTGTCATACTTGAATATTTTTTATTATTTTACCATTTTTTGCATACTTTCTCTGTGAAAACATCAATTTATTAGTTATGCATAAATGCATAGCATATATATATATATGATCATTGATATATAAGAAATTTTGTAATAAAGTAAAAATGTATAATTTATACTCTTTTTTATATGTAATAAAGTAATAAGGACTTGTCAGACTCAAACTCTATTAAGTTACTTATTATACAGTATATCAAAAATGTTTGTGCACAATGTAATTTTTAATTTGATCTAAATTAAAAAAAAAGTGGCATTTTATTTATTTAGCTGATTAATTTATTTTGTTCTTTCATTTTACAATCATTCCTTATTATTTTTTTTTATTTTTTTCGCTGTATTGATTGTTCTAATGTAATGATTGTCTATTACGTCCTATTATTTTTAAAAAAAAGTAAAAAAATAGAAAAAATCAAAAAAAATCAATCGTAACAATATTTCATTGTTTCATATTCTTTATTCTACTTTATTTTTTCATACTATTGTTACACATAGATAATTGAGATAAAAAAAAAGAAAAAAGTAAAGTAGAAAAAATAAGAATCGGATTTATTAATAACTAATGCTTGATCTACAATTTATTTACTAATTGATGATTTTTTATTAACTGTAATAATTTATCAAAAAAATTCAATTAAACTTCAATAAAAAAGAAGACGCCTTTAATTTGGTTAACATCTAAACTTGCCCCAAAAAACTCATGAAAATAAATATATTTTGAATAGTCGTACTTTTTATTTTGTTGTGTGTAGCGTATATAAAGTAATAAAGTAACAAAAAAAAAATATATAGTATAAATAATAAATAATAAATTAAAATTAGTCATCAACTGTAATCACATCAAATTCTACAAAAATGGTAACTACGTTATTAAAGTTTATGTATAACAAATAAAAGATAAAAATAATCAAAATTATCAAAAAAAATATTAATAATGTATTTTTATATCTAAATCTAAAAAGGAATAATAAAAAACACCAAAAAATTAACAAAATGATGAAGTACGAAATTTATTTTGATTATATAAGATACAAGATATTCAAGCTATATGCGTATACATGAATAAATACAGTCTTGAGACACTGTCTTTATGTATCTGTCCTTTTCTTTTTAACCATCGGGGAACATTAAGATGTTTACTAATATATTATTACAATATACTTGTAAACTATCTAAACCATCTACACTAATTACCACTAACTAATTGTGGGTTTACCTTCGACGCCGGTTATATGTCTGTCTTTATGTGTCTCTGGATCTGTACAAATGCCAACCCGAATATAATATTCACAATACAGTATTTACTGTAGTACCTAAGCATTTTTTTTAAAGCCAAATAATTGAATCGATGTTCAAGAAAATTCCTATTATTCATTATTATTGTTGTTGTTGACATTATTATTGTCAGTATAAGTTTTATTAGATATTGAGTAATATCAATATCGCACATATTAGTTAACACAATATGACTTTACTATTTTATTGTATCAAACTATTTTTTATTTATTATACATATAATACAAATTCAAATCCAAATATAAATTATTAATACAAAACAAATACTGAGAATAAATAACAGTTAAAATTTCGGGTGAAATGTAATAATGAAATAAGATCCAAATAATGGATCAATTATTCAAGAGACTTGGAAATCACATCATTTATTTTTTTTTATTCCTTCATCAGAATAATTAAACTGATTTTATTTTAATTATTCAAGTTACTGGTAAGAGCCAGATTTACTTGTGATTAATTGATTCGCCTTATTCTTTCCTGTAAATCTGGAATAAACATATCATTGAAAACATTATAAATGTTACAACGGTTCAACTGTATTATACAAAAAAAAAAGTGGTCCCCGAGTTGCTTGCTAATATCTTACATCTTTAGTGGTTCCAGGTCTGCATTAACGCCTTTAGGCTAATCTTAAGTATCACTGAAATATTTTCATTTATCTTTTTATATATCAGCACTCTATTAGTTGAAAAATTATATATATATAAATGCTTAAAAAAATCTTCCTTTCGATAAAAAGGATTTTCTGCATCTTCATTTATTCTTTATTTAACTCTCTCTATATCTATTTATTTATTTCTTATATTCATAAAAAAAATTCATATTTGAATTTGCTTGAAAAAAAATCTTCTTTTCGATAATAAAAATTTTCTATATTTGCGTCCATTTAAAATTTGTTCTTTATTCTTTATTCAATATACCAATTTGTTTTTTTAAACAAAAATATTTACAAAAATGAACAATTTAATCACGAATATAAACAGAACATCGATTTTTCCTCCATCATTATCAATTGAAGAGGCTATCAATCTTCTCAACTCCAATAGGAGTCTTCAAAACTGTCACGGACAAATGTTGTGCAAAATATTGGTCGCTAAAGAATGTAGAAGATTGGGAGAAAATAATAAAATGAAAATCGCAAGTGCGGCGAGTTATTTGTGGAAAGAGTCTACAAGTCAAGAAAAATCTGATTATATAGATTTGGTACATCGAGCTAAAACCTTTGATATTGATATTTTTTAATATTAAAATTCTTCTTTTATTTGAGACTAAAAAAAATTATTCATTCGGAAAACATTAAATAATGAAAGACATTTCGATTTCGAAACTTTTAACGGAAATATTATTTCTTTCTTTATTATATTATATTTATTACTTAGAGTATTCGATCTTTCTATTCGTAATTCAAGCACAAACTCAAACTACAAACAAACGTTTTTATTATATGTTTAAAAATTATTATTCGGATTAATTTTTACTTCGATATCGTATTTATTATTCTTATTATTATTATTACACTGATAGAAACTTCGATTAAATAATTTAAATTATGAATTAAAATTATATGATATGATTATTTTTCTTTCGTAATTCAAATAAACAAACATAACACTTTTTATTATATGTATAAAACTTTTATTCGAATTTATTTCTATTTTATCGTATTTATTTTTTTGAGTAAGGATTAAATGGTTATCTTTTAAATAAATTATTTAATCGAATTTCTATTTAAAATAAATAATAAATTACCGCTTTTAGATTGAGACCTTGCTATTGTTTTAAATGGTTAGGAATCTTTATTCATACATTTATTAATAAATTTATTTTTTTTTTTGGAATAAATTAAAAAACAAACAAAATAATATGTATTCTTCATTGTGCGAAAAAAGGGGAATTATGTGTAATCTATTTCCAGTTAAATAAAGAATACAAAAACAATAAATAAACAATAAATTTCAAATCCATTAATTTATATAATAGATATATAAAAAAAAAGTGATAGTTTTTAATGAATGTCATTTTAACATTATTTTAATATTATAAAATTTATTTTAAATATTTGTGATACAAACTTTCAATTATTAATTATTCAAATATTTTCACAGGCCATTCCCCCCTTCTTTTTACTTCTAAATATAAGAAATCGATTTTTTAAAGAGTTCAAATATACATATGACATACATATATGTATATGCAGCAATTAGCACAGTTATAAAATTTAGTACAACATCAATTTTATCTAGTAACATACAAATTCCCAACCCTGCATATAACATATACATATAGTAGGGGTCCGATCCGTGAGTAAAAACTCCACAGATATCCGGATATCAACTTAGGTAACGGATAAGAAATTAATGCATATATCCGTTATCAATAAACAGAAGGCTAGAAATTGGCTCAAGAAAGTGGAACATAAAGGCAAGAACAAGAAATTTATTCATCATTAAATATGCTCTCAAACTAAATTTATTATCCGTATTAGATTTTTCACGGATAACAATCCGTGGAGTCTACGGATTATATGTTTTGCGGATAAACGGATACTGATATACAGATCGGACCACTACATCTACATACATGATAACATGATTATATATGTAATTGTTTACTTTTTATAGTTAGGCTTAAAAGTAATTTTTTAATTTTTACTACATTATACTCCGGAATTAACTAATAAGGATAAAATAAAATCTTGTAAACCTTTTTTGTGCATGATGAATGGATATGAATGAATACATAATAAAATTTCATCGACATTTAATATTGCTATTATAAGATTTTGATAGAATCTCATGGAACAAAAATTTTTCGGAATTTATTTTGATTGGTAGCTGATTTTTTTTTTTCTTGAAGTTCGTAATTGGACTTTTTTTCCTAGATTAATTAGTCGAATAAGTCTGAGTACACTTGATAGAGCTGTTTTTCTGAGATCAGACCTCATGCGACTGACCACCCTGACTTATTGGTCCAGACATTTTGACACAAATCTTCCAAACCCTCGACATCATCTCATCGTTAGAAAACAACAATCGGTTTTAATATTCTTTTCAAAATGTCATATCACAAATCGCCTTCACGAAACTTCATTCAACAAAACTACACTTTTAGGTCTTGTTAATTTCACAAGGTTATTTTTAATAAGACTAATATCTAATTTTTATTTTTATAAAAAAAATTACTTATAATGATTATAGCAACAGATGTTATTGTGTTTATTCATTTTAAAAAACTTTTCTAGGACTTTTCTTGTTACCTTGATTTGGATTCATTCATCTATAGGATTATCATCTTCCCTCAAATAATTAATAAAAATTAAATTAGTTATAATCGTACGACCTCAGATAATGCCATCAGATATTAGATACATACGTAATTTCGCTCGGATCTCTTAACGACTCGAAAAAAAAAGATAGGAGAATAAAAAAAGAATTTCTATTAATCATAATAACTCTAAAAAAAAAGAACAATGCCTTTAGGTATATTGTATCCGATATCCGGTTAACCATTTCATTGTGAATGTACATGCATTTATGAATAATATAATACCTTAAAGATCATAACTTTTATTAAAGATTGTTTTTTGAATTTATAAAATGTATGCAAGGGTAAGCCTTCTACACAAGTTTCCTTTCTGTTAAATCAATTAAAAAAAAAGTGGAATACAGGAAAACAATGAAAACTTTTTAGGACATAATTTTTCTTAATGCAAAATATTTATGGTAATCTTTCATTAAATCACCCTTAAATTAAACTTCTTTAGTATACAATTATGCATACACAATATTGCAAGACGCCCATTTCAAAAAAGATAATATGAAACTCAAATGAACCCTCAAAAATAAAATATAGAAATCATAATTATTAAAATTCCGCATATACAACGTATGCAATAATTTTTTCCCCCTTGTTCTTAACCTAATAAATTTATCTAACAATAATATTATTTTTTAACAATAATATTATTTTTTTAACAATAATATTATTATTTTATTGTATGATGCTTGAGTGTACCGGATACATTTGTATTGCATAAACATAATAATGAGTGATGACTGGTTTTTTTTTAAAAAATTTTTTACGGGAAGTTGCGTTGGTAGATAATTTTATTTTTGGAATTTTCTATTTCAGAAATTTTTTTTTTCTAAGGGAAATGTTGTTAACCTCACGGGAATTTACTTACGAAGAAAATTCAACGAAAGGTATCATATCACAAAAAAAGATTAATTCGTAATAAAATGTAATAACTCGTGTGTTATAACAAGTATACCTTACCAGATCTTCAGCAATTTCTTTTCATAATCAATGATTTACAAATATGCACAATCCGACTTCCAAGTACGGATTAGGTAATCTCTTGTTTGGGATCTTCTGGTATTTTTTTTTCACTTGAATTTTATTATTTTATTTATTTTAACAAATAATGAGTGGTTTTTTTTCGGAATTTGTGTGTGACCGTTGTATTTTTCAGGTTCCTTTCCAATATTGTTGTAAATCTTTCTTTTTATATTGAAATATTTTCTCAATAAATAATGCAAGATTTCTAGGGTACTTTTTAGCGGTCTTCCTGGACAAAGCCTTAATTTTAGGTTCACAAGCCTATAATCCAGGCCTGGTCAAAGCTAATCTTGACTGGACCATATTTGAGCTTAAATTAAGGTTCGCAAACCCAACTCAGGTCTGTGAGCCAAGTTAGACCCACGAAACCGCTTAGGCCTGCAAGCCCAAATTATATCCACGAGCTTAAACCTAGGTCTGCAGCCCAAGTTAGGTCTACAAGCTTTGTGAGGTTAATTCAGATCCGCGGGTAATGTTTCAGATAGATCTGGATTTGTTTAATTATCGAAATAATAATTATTGATAATCAATAATAGCAGTTAATAATTATGCCAGTACGATCATGTTGAATGTGTAACATGAGATATGAGTAGGGATGATGTTGCTTATGCTGATTTTTGCAATTTCCGTTTTAGTGAAAATTGTGATTTTTTTCTATTGTTTTTATTTTAGATATGTGTTATAGTTTTTGATTTTTGTTAACATCATAATGATGATGAATGTTAAAGTTTCTTACATTTTGAAAAATTTAGTAAAAGGGACCATAACTATAGTGCCAAGTTGTTGCGAATTAATGAGATGCACTTCCCAATATGATCTTCATTTATTGTGTAGCTTTAAAATTATAAATTGGAAATAATTAGACATAGTTACAACATATTAAACTTTTTATTTTTATAAGTGAATATTAAAAGTGATGCTACGTGAACTCAAAGATAAAAATGAAGTCCACCTTCTATAAAAAGGAGAGACCTACTGTCACAAATGTGCAGAGTATTTTGAATACTTTCACCTATCAGTCTCAGAGCTTGTCTCAAACTAATTTTTTAATATGCTCTATCTGCCAGTAGGTTAAGCAATCCATTGATCTAAATTTGTCTATCTCGAAACATATAATATAATTCTTTTAATTCTTTTTAATTCATTATTTTTAATCTGAAGGCTCGTGAGTAAGGTGGAGTAAAAGTGCTAACACAGTATCAAATAATATTTAATAATATTTCACAATATCGCAAACAAAAGATAAGTTTATTAAAATATAAAAGGTACAAATTTAAAAGTAAAGTATCATTTAACAACAGAAATATTACGGGTTATGTGTCTATTTTACCATCCCTAAAGGAAGTTTACTTTCTATCTAATAATAAAAATATTTGAAACTATCCGTAATTATTAATTAACTCAAGTCTAAGAAACTACTAAGACTACTGTTTTCTGTCTCCAATGACCACTTCTTTTATACTTTTTCACCTTCATTCAATTTTTACCCATCATCTTTTTGTACTTCATCCTTCATCCTTCATCCTTCATCCTTGTACTTCATCCTTCATCCTCGTATGTTATCTTTTGTATGACAACACAAGTTATTATCCTCGTGCAATCATCCATTTATCATCTCCCGTGATAATCCGCATGCTTACAAAATTACTTCGCCACAATAGAAGTAAAAGGCATAAAAAATAATTTTTTTATTATGAAAACTATATATAATATACTGTATTGTCTAGAATCTCGCTTTCCTACATAGTAAAATTTTTTAAAAACGTTTTATACTTGTTTTTTTTAATAAAATTCGAACATTTATACTTTATTTAGCAAAATATAAGCTTTTTATATAAAATTTGTGTGATGAGTATTAACTTCTATATGAAGCAATTTTGTCGATTGCGAAGTTATCATATGATCGTGGCCTCAAATTTTATTAATTAATCACTCCGATTGATAGGATTAAGTTAGTTACATTATGATTATTTCCAAAATATATCTGTATATTATTAATTATAATTATTTAATTTATGTATATAGGTATATTTATGGTGGTATTGTTAACTTAGAGAAAGTCGAAGCCAGGATGTATTTTTGACTAAATGTTAGCAGCTAATAAATTTGAACTTGAGGACTTATCTAAAAAGCTAGAAACTATTCTTATTGAAGATACGGCTTCTTGGTTGAAAACACATTTTCCTTTAGTTTACCAATCTATTTTAGATAATCAAAACTTTAAAGATTTAGGAAATTTTTGTAATGAAATTATAGTCAATAATCCAAATCTTATTTTTGATTTAGATTTCTTCTTAAACGAGATGATTCGCAATTGAAAGAAGTTGAAATTTGAGACCACGTCATTAAGTGAGGAATTACTCAGAATCCTACTCTCCCTAAAATCTTAGAGATTGGACGAAGGAAAGTTTTCTCACGTTAAAAACTACTTTACAACAATGCCTACCACTTATTCGTTACTCTCATATTCCAAATATTGAAATTTATGACAAAATTAGGCCTTATAAAAATTTTTGACCAACAACTTTGGAAAGACATTATACAGCATTCATGTGTTCCCGACAACTAGTAATTCGATTGTTTTACCTGAAAGATCAGTTTCGATTACAGAACCTTTTTCAACTATCATTTCTGAAGATCATACTGCAGAAATTTCTAGTTGGATCGATCGTGCTATTTATTCAACAACAAATAATCCCTATAAGTTTGAATTGATTTTATGCGGGACTAGAGATGGGTTCGCTCCACAAACATTTTGGAACATTTGCAAAGGTCACCCTCGTACAGTTGTTGTGGCGAAAGTTAAAGGAACTGATGAAATTATTGGAGGTTATAATCCTTTAACATGGGATAATAGTAATATTGAAAGTCAATGGGAGGAAACAAAAGATAGTTTTATTTTCTCATTAAAAAATGGGAATATTCAAAATTCAATTCTTAGCAGAGTAAAAAACGCTCCCCACACCCAATATGCAATTCTTGATTCGGCCTTTGAAGATCATGATGGTCCACGTTTTGGACATGATTTTATTTTGCGTAGTCGTAGATCTAATTTTAATTTATATGGTGAAAGTCACTGTAATACTAGCGAGACTTTCAGTCAATATGAAAAACCTATAAGAGAGTCATCAGGTTACTTCTCTATTGATAATTATGAAGTATTTAAAGTTGTTTGAAAATCTTAAACAATGAAACCCTTTTTTTTATAATATTTGTATTTATTAAATAATAAAAACTTTACATTTATTTGCTTAAATTTATCTATGAATAAATTTATCATTTAGTGTTTCTTTCGTAAACATACAGTATTTATAAATGTAGTATTTTCTAATTATTAACATTATTGTTTTTAAGTATTTTCGCTAACACATTAACAAATATATCTCATTTAGATATTTTATGAGCCATTTGTTTTTCGATGGATTCCTAAAAAGTTGACCATACGATTTGCCTTAAAAACTATTATCACGCAAGCTCCCCAACATATAACCAGCAATACAGAGTATATAGAATCGGATTCTAGTATTTTATGCTTAGATGACTCTGGCACTACCTTGTCAATACTTACCTCTGTGGACATGTTTCACTTCAAATGTATTATGAAAGTATTCGGAGAGATGACATTACCCTACTTCAATACCAGACCCACCCAATGAATTTGGAATATCATGTTCACAACCAATTGAAGATGTTGAAGTTGCAAGCGGAAATGATTTTAACCTTTTATAGAAGAGATGAATAGTCCTACAAATTGTCTAATCGAAGAACTCATAACCAACCGGTAATGGATGCCATACCCATTATCACAACTTCTCAATCTGATGTAATTCCTCAAGAAATAATTATTAATAGTTCTCCAAATCCAGGACCCCCCAACATATGCTAGGCCAATAATTTAGTTGAAGCAATGTCTTCACAAACTCTTCATCAACAAATCTGGTATGCAACACCAGACGTCGAAATAGTCGTAGAGAAAACTTTGTGCAAATATTTAGGTTCGATTTTAATCATTAAACGGGAATAGCTTTTCAAGATGAATTGGCAACTCTTGATACTTTAGTGAATATCTTACCAAGTCCAAGTATATATTCTATATTATGAAACTGAAAATTCAAATTATGCTAACCTCATTTCCATAATAAAATTTCGAATTGGGTAATTCTTTCAAAACAATTTGAGATGCCGTTTCTTTTTAATAATCATCATAGTTCACATGAAGCTTTTAATAGTGTGGCGAAGTAATTTCATAAACATGCGAATTATCACGGGGATGATAAATGGTAACACTAAGATGATTGTATGAGGATAATAACTTGCGTTGTCATATGAAGGATGAAGTACAAAGGATGACGGGCAAAAATTGAATGAAGGTGAAAAAGTATAAAAGAAGTGGTCATTGGAGATAGAAAACAGTAGTCTTAGTAGTTTCTTAGACTTCATTAATTAATAATTGCGAATAGTTTCGAACATTAATATTATCAGATAGAAAAGTAAACTTCCTTTAGGGACTGTAAAATAGACACATAACCCGTAATATTTCTGTTGTTAAATGATACTTTACTTTTAAATTTGTACCTTTTATATTTTAATAAACTTATCTCTTGTGTCGCGATATTGCAAATATTTTTAAATATTATTTGATACAGTGTTAACACTTTACTCCACTCTATTCACTGAGCCTTTAGATTAAAAATAAAGAATTAAAAAGAATTATATTATATTTATTATCTGTTTCGAGATAGGCAAGTTTAGATCGACGGATTGCTTGATCTACTGGCAGATAGAGTGATTAAAAAATTTGTTTGTGTGAGACAAACTCTGAGTCTGATAGGTAAAAGTGTTTGAAATACTCTGAACATTTGTGACAATAGCAAAGTAGTAAACCAAATTCCTCATGAAAATCCTAATGTGGTACGTATAGGGAGAATTTTCCGGATAGTTAATTTTTCTTAATTAACAAATAGTGATATAACTAAAAGAGATTAGTCTTAGAAAATAATTTTAAGTCATTTATGATGCATCATAACTTTAAATCTAATATGCCAAATGCCCTCATAATATGTCCAATAGATGCTTCGCATTAAGTGTATAAAGAAAACAAAGGGAAATGAAACATTGAACGATAAACAATGGAATTTATTTAATAAATTTATAATACAGTATGTCACATTACACTAAAAATCATATAAATGAATTTCCTTCTTTTTTTCGACTTTTGATAATTTACAAAAAAAAAAATGATTTTAAAATTTATCAAGTTATTTCGAAACTTTATGAACTTCTTAATAATAAAGATGATCATTGAAGTTGAAAATAAGGAAAATCTTTGACGGCACATTCTGAAAATAATGTTAAAATAATTATCAAGTCAAACTTCCCCCCAAATTTTTGATGTAATAAAGTAAATCCATTTATTTTATTTCCTTTTTTCCCAAAAGGAGAGATTTTCGTTAAAGCCAAAACTACTTATAATATTTTAAGTAAAACACTAATAATAATGATTGTTTATGAGAAAGAAAATAAAACCAATTATTCAGCATGCATGCATCATAAATTTGAAATTTGATTTGCCTCTTCATTTGTATCAGCTTTACATACTACTAACAAGTAATAATCAACAAGATTAAATTTATCATTTCATATTATTAATTTTTTTCTGATTTATTTAAATCCAAATAATTAATAATAGTAGGTGTATATAAATAGTCTAATGTTGTGTCATCTTAATTATGTAAGTTACGTGCTTATTTAATTATCATTACTATCAAATTTCTTGTTATTAATATTTATAATATTTATTATAATGATATAATAATATTACTTAAATTATATTATTTGTGTATATGAATTTAAATTTTAACCACCACCTAATTTTAAAATATGGAAATTTTGCACTTAAATAAATGCTTTTTAATTTAATAATCTGTATTTTAAAATAACTGCATTGAAATTTTTTGGGTATGGAAATTTTATTTTAAAATTATTCCCTTTTAGTAATCTTCATTTTTTGAAAAAAAAAACTTGTCTCGGAGATTTTACTTTATAAATACGCAATGGTAAAATAGATTAAAATTTTTTAGAAACAAATATATATTAATAAGCAAGCTTCAAAAAAAATAAAAGTAGCTTTATTTCAATATTTCGCTATTTATTTTTATTAATTTAATATTTATAATTCTTATTTTATCTATCTCCGTTTCTTTTTTTTTTTTTTGTTTTTATAGAGTGACTTTATTTAAATATTAAAAATCGAACTGAAGTAAATTCACGAAGAAAGTGCATTTTGCAGATTCAAAAAAAATATTACTTGGATATTGTGCAATAATATCATCACAAAATTTTCTAATTTATAAATTTGTTATGTTTAAAAAATGAATGATAACCTAAATTCTATATTTTTAGTATCAATAATTCCTCCATAGATATTTTCGTCCAAAATTATTAAATTATTAAATATAATATTTCACAATATATAACGTACAAAAATACTCTATTAATGCACAATAATTAAATCATATAAAGACTTACATACTTGAGAATAATTTCGAATATTTGAGTAGAAATATTTGTCTAGTAATAATTTTATTATTATTATCATCATTGGGAACAGTATTTTGTTAATTCTTTATTAAAGTAAGATGAACGATGACGTAAGGCAGTCGAGTGTGTAGTGAAGTTTTTTTTTATTTTTTCTCGATCAACTTCAATAATAACATTATATTCTTCTTTATCATTAAGAAGTTCTGAAAATCTTGGGATAACTTTAAATTTTGGGTATAAACTATAATAAAAAGAATGTAATCAAGTTTTCATTTTAATGATTATGAATCACTATTACATCCAAAGAATAATTTTGAACTATAAGATACCATTTTTTATACAAATTCCTTCGAACTCTGGAGATTTATTGTTTATACGAACTTCTCACGATGATCTCTGTTATATAAAGATTTAGTTAAAAATTATATTATTATTATTACTTCATACATTCATTATTAATATATTGATACATACCAATTCGATAATTGAAAATCATAATAAAAGAAATCAAAGACTAATCAAAGAATTCGCGATGAAAAGTTTAGCTGATCATAATAGAGATTAGATATCTCATATTATGTATCTGAAATACTATATACTGCATAATTAAATATATATCTTCCAATAATTATTCCCAAAGTCTTATATTATACTACTTTCTCGATATTCTCGATACATTACAATAAATAAAATAAATAATTTTAATTTGTAACAGTACATTATTGATTAATGCCTAGTACATAATGTTGTATGATGTGACTAACAATGTACAGCATGTACAGATATATAAATTGGCGTAACCCGATTTATTTTAAATTTGAATTGTTAATCATGTCCCAAGAAAAGGAAAAAGAAAAAGAATGGGAGAACTGGATGGATAATTTAATTATTGAAGATACTTTCCAAAAAAAAAATATCCCATTTTATAAATTCTCTGAATTTCAAAATGTAAAATTGATTACTGCTAATATTTTTAAAGCTACCTTTAAAATTTCTCAAAAAACCGTGGCTCTCAAAAATATCTATTTAAATGATAATGATAAATTTTCATTGGATAATTTAATAAATGAAGTGAGCTGAATTAATTTATTATTATTTTTATTCTATACCTTAAATTTCTGTTAATATTTTTATTTTCACTATTTTACTTGAAAAAGATTAAAAGACATCGAAAATTGGAAATTCATGATAGTTTTCTTAAATTCTATGGCATCACTAAGCAAGGTAAAAATATTTAAATATTTAGATATTATTATATTATAAGTTTATTTACTTATTTATTTATTTATTTTTTGAAATTATTTTTTTTATAGAGAATACCAACAATTATTCGATTATTCTCGAATATGTTAATGAAGGTTCTCTTCGTCAATATTTGAAAACCAATTACCAAAAAATGGATTGGAATACAAAATTAAATCTCGCAAAACAAATTGCAAATGTTTTGAGGTTTTTACATTCCAATGATATCATTTATGGAAGATTGGTAATTCTTTTTTTAAAAGAAATTTCATAAATGAATTATTTTCTATTATTTTAATTATTTTTATAACAATTTTTTAGAACTCTGAAAACATTCTTATTCATGATGGGAATATTAAATTAAATGTTTTTGGATTAACAAAAATTATTTCTAATTCTTTAAATTTCCTTACAAATAATTTGGTTCAATGCAATACGTAGATCCCCAATATTTGGAATTTTTCAGCACAATTGGCAAAAATAAGAGCTCTGATATTTATTGTCTAGGTATTATTTTTTGGAAGTTTCTAGTGGTAATCCTCCTTTTGAAATGGAATCCTCACCAAATGTTGATTTGTTAAGCAATATTGCAAAAGGAAAAAGGGAAAAAGTTGTACCTGGAACACCTCAGAAATACAAGGAAATATATACTGGTATGAATTTAAATAATCTATTAATACATATATCAATTTTATTGTTTACATAATAGTTTATTAATTTTATATTTTTGACAGATTGCTGGAAGCACAATGGAAACTCGCGACCAGATATTTTTCAAGTTGTTAAAAATCTTTCCGAAATCATTATCTCTAATGCAAGTGTTGAATTCGAATCACAAAACTGCAGCAGTGTCAACAACTACCCCCACAGCAGAAATCACGCCCCACAACAGAAATCACTCCGCCAACAGAAACCACTCCTACAACAAAAACAACCCCCGCAACAGAAACCACCTCAACAACAACAACCGCATCCCTAACGAATGGCAATTATGAGGATGCATTTGTAGACGTTAGTATTTTTATTTAATTTGTAAATCTTAATTATGAAAATATAAATTTATTATTTTCTACATTTTAATCATAATCGACAATATAAATTTCTTATATTCAGGTTCTTGCTTCACACGAGTTACCTCTCATTTTACGTCTTTGCAGTGAAGTTAATCCGAAGACCGTTTTTTCTCATGCAAGATCTTTACTTTCTCAACCTGTAATTCTTTCTCTTATTCATCGCCTTTCTTTGGAATTGAATAAATATCCTGATTTAAAACTCAGGTGGATGGAAGAAGCTGTAATAAAACTTAACCCAAAGGTACTTCGCGTTCCCTTTTTACTAAAAAAAAACAGTATAAATCAAAATTATCAAAATTAACGAAATCATATATCATGTAGGACCATATAATTAGAGAACATTGCGAAAGACTCTTACCTCTAGTAAAACAGCGTCTCGATCAATATTATCACAAGATCGCTACTCAAGACCCTATGAGTCCTAATTTGAGAAATATCTCGCTTTTAATTCATGTGGTTAAAAGTTTGCTTACGTAAATTTATGTGATCATTAAAATTATATAGAATTAATTTGTTCGGTTTCTTCGGACATTTTTAATATTTTATATGATTAGCAAGGTATGATTAGCAAGGAATAAATGATGTAATTCGAGAATTTAGAAGCGTAAAATATTTATGAATCAAATAATAATAGATATTTCACTTATTAATAATAAATTTAAATGATGATTAAACGCAATTCCGTAATAATGAGTAACAAACCACCTAAGCTTCCTCGAAGAAATCTTAAAGATCCTAAATGATAATGGAGAAAAGGTTCTCCCGTTCATTGGGTCAAGTTGTTATTTCATTACTTTGGAGTAATCCATTTGATTAAATTTTACTTGAAATCAATCAAGATCTCATCTTTTCATACAAACTTATCATCATGTCTTGACAAAGAAAAAAGACAAATATTATTAGATGAATAATTAGATATTCCATTGAAGTCTCCATTATTTGATTATCCAATTTTTCAAAAAAAATTTCGTATCGAAGTGTTACAATTGTTACTTGTTAAATGATGGACCAACAATACAACTTATAGAATTAGAAATAAAGCAAATTTTATAAATTAGACGCAGTATTATCCGAATTATTAATCAATAAATGTAACGGAGATTATTGAGTCTGATACACAAATTAATTATAGTATTGCGGATTTTGATTCTTTTTCTGGAATACAAAATACAATTTGTAGCCATTCGGTGTATTTAGCAAATATTTTATCGTGAATAATTACTCATTTGATTATTACACCACGTGACGACGGAGAGATTACTTGTCAAATACCAAAATTGATGGAATCACAAATAAATTTAGAAAAATTTAGTATGATATTTTCATTTGCAGGATTTTCTCAATCAAATGGATACGCGTCAATATATTCAGCTCTCACGGGTCGAAAGGATTCACTCACTCATGCTGATTTTCGAAAAATTTATTGAACTAAATTTCATTAGAAATTTTAACAAAATGTAATAAATTAAGATCACTATATTTCGTTAATTGTCAACAAGAACAAGATATTACTTTATGTAATTCTTTAATTCAACTTCCCATCACTAAATTAATGTTAAATATTTCTTTAGGAAAAAAATTCATTAACGAATACGACTTGTATTTCAATTATAATGATGGCAGCCTCGACATTAGTAGAATTAACAATAGATTATCTTTCACCTGAAGTTGTCGAGATAATTAAAACACAAATCCCAAATTTAAATTCTTTAGATATTCGTACTACAACTCTTCCATTACTTGATTTCATATCAAGTCCACTGTTAAACATTTAGCACTTAGTGAATCAAATTTATTTAGTATTACATTTTACAACAACTCGGTCAATTACATTAAGACATTTACAAATTGAATGTAGATATAATGTTACTCCTGAATCTCTAACCGCATTATTGGAAGAATGTAAAGCACCTCTTAAAATTATAAGTTTAGATGTTGAAATATTTGATGATACTTTATTAGAAGTTATAGTTGATTAAATAGGAAAAGATACGACAATTGAATATGATGGAAAATTGTGTAAAAAGTTAACGACGGTTATATCTTCTATCAATCAAATTACGTAGATCCTTGGCCCACTTTTTCTATTAAAATAATAGATATTATTTATTGATAATTTACTAAATTTATTGAATATATTGATTTTTTAATAGAGCGAAGAGATCCTTTATGGAAGGATCTTGATTCATAATTTATCTTTTAGATTTTCCAAAGAATTAATGTAATTCAAAAAAGAAGAAAGCTTGAAAAGGTTTTACACACATTCAGGATTAATAGTAAACTTTAGGACTTTAGGGTGAGAAAATTTAATTCAATATCACAATTTTTTGATTAAATTTCTATTTTATTTATTGAGCAATACTTCATGAAAATTCCTGATGTAATTGACATGAAACCATTCATCTCTTACAAAAATTCATTTTTATTTGTGGAATTGTCAAGGCTTTTTAAGCAAACTTCCTATTCTTTAAACCTATTCCAATTATTTGCTTCATAATCCCAAGACATAATAGGTCCATCGAGCCATTTTGCATTATAGACTGTACCAAATCCCCCTTTAGCAAGGTATGAGACATTCTCAAATCTGTCAAATGTAATCCATTCAATAATATCTTGATGTTCTATTGCCACTTATCCGTTTGTTAAATTTATCGTTTGGCATTACATGAACTACAACATACCAATTTATTCCAATATTATCTTGATAACATTCCCTACAAATTCTAAAAAAAAATTATTGATATTTAATTAGTTTGAAACGTTGATTTTTATTATGAGTCCAAATACTTGCTGTAATATAATAAGTACATGATATTAAATCAAATTGAAACATTGATACTCACTCCCTGAAATATAATAAATATATGATTTAGAATTTATTAGAGAAGTGTTATTTGATATTGAATCAAATTGAAACATTGATTTCAATAATTGTGAATCCAAATATTTACTCCCTGTAAATATAGTAGATACAGTTGATTGATTTATTGTTTGATTAGAGTAGTGCTATTGTTATTGAATTAGATTGGACATTTGATTCGATAATTATGAATTTAAATACTCACTCACTGTAATTAAAGAAGTGTCATAGATACTGAATCAAATTGAAACTTTGATTTCAATTATTATGAATCTAAATACTCACAAACTGTAATGTAATATAGATACAATTTATTTAATTTATTTATAAATGATGGAGAATATCATTACATTGAATACTTTCTGTAATATAATGAATATATTTAATAGATTAGAGAAGTACCATATGATATTGAATTATTTAGAAACAATGATTAAATGATTATGAATTTAAATACTCACAAACTGTATTATAATATATATGTGATGCGATTGTGTGATTTATTATATGATTATGATATTGAACATTGATTCAATAATTATAAATCTAAATACTCACGTGCTGTAATATAATTGGAATAGAATTAATTAACATTAATTAGAGAATTGTTATTTTATATTGAATTGTTACATTTACAATATATTAGAGAAGTATTATATGATATTGAAACATCGATTTCAATAATTATGAATCTAAATACGTACGAACTGTAATATAGAGTGCATACAATTGATTAATTATTGATATTTAAAATTGATTTTAAAATAATGTTCAATGCAACGATTTGCCTACTTTCTGAAATCTTCATGTTTCTTTTATCTCTTCTGATTTTTCAATTCTTTCATTTTTCCCGCTTCTTTTGTTACTTACATTTCTTTAAAATTCATAATTTCCATTTCTTCAGCTTCTTTCGTTTCTTTCTAAAAATCTATATAAAAAATAAAACGTGACACATTACTATCCGATCAATTTTTCGTAAATTTTTAATCACAAGAATATCAATAATATGATAAATTCCATGAACATAAAAAAATCTTTTTACGATATCCAGAAAGATATAATTAAACCTTTACGATTTCTCAATTAAACATATTTACCGAAATTTGCTACATATACATAGCCAAGATAATATCGAGTTTGAAATTATGCTTGTTTTTCATTTTAAGATAATATCAAAAAACATTTATTTGTTGTTCGCGGGTGACGGAAGTTATCATCATCTTGACCATTCTTATTATTTGTAATGATCAATTCTTTTTACTTATCAATAATACAGTAAATAAAACATATTCTTTGACCACAATAGTTTTTGATAAATTAGAAAATTCCCAGACATTGACCTAGATAAGAAAGTAAATAAATCTTAAGTAATAACATATAATAATAATTATGGATTGACTGTATATTCTTGTAAAAAAAACTTTTCGAAAAAAAAAAATAAAACCCTTTTTTTTGTTTGATCATTTATCACTTCATCAGAAAAAATCATTGAGAAAGAATATTTTTAGAAATCAATATACACGGCAACTTCGCCTAGCGGTCGGAGAATTGGTGAGTACTATTCTCTCTGGTGGTAGTGGTGATAGTAGATGTTCCTCCATTGGTTTTTCTTATTATTTTTATTTACGAAATATAAAATATGACATGTAGTGAATATTTATTAATCATCAAAATTTAATCTAGAAATTATTTAAATGTATAGTCTGAACTTTTAATACCACATAAAAAATGCATATACATTTATTTATTTAGTAAACCTTTGGAAGAATATCAAGTTGCTTTGCTGGTTATAAGTTCCTCATCCTTTAGTATGTTACTGAAAACGAAACTAAAATTTTACTACTTTAATTACAAAAAAAATAAGATGGGACTACAATCTCTCTAACCTCTCTCTACCTTCGTTAGTCATTCCTTTGTTTATGCGAAACGATTCAAATAAGATTCAAAAGAGATCAGTTCTGGATTTAATGTTTTCGAAATACTTAAAGAATAATTTTTAATATTGGTTTTTCAAGGTAAATTGTTTGTTAGTTAACAATTTTATTCAATTTATTCAAAAAAGTGAATATATGTGATTTGTCATTTAATATATATATTAAAATATACACTTCTTGAGAAAAATAATAATTTGAACTCTTATAAAAGTATTATTAAAGAATATACTTTAGTTTATTAAAATCTACGGTAAAAACAAAATAAACATTTATATATCCTTGGTAGGATCCAAAACTTAGTGAAAAATATTTTGAGTACAGTAAAATTTTCCAAATTTTCGTACTTGAATATCGTCCGGGAATTCATCACAATCACATTTTTTAAATTAATCACGCTCACCTTTCGAATAAGGATCTGTTCAATTATAAAAAAAATGAATGAAATGATACTATAATAAATTAAGATAAATTAGAATAATCAATAATAAATTATTGTATTATACCTTCAAACATTGTTCTCTCCCAAAATAACCAGTGAGATATATAATCCTTTGCTTCATCAGGTTTTGGACTAATGTTTACTTTATTTGTATAATTGGTTTAATTATAATTAATAAAAGCTCTATATGAGATTTTAAATTTTTTTTTTAAAAAAAAAATACAATACAATACCTTTTATATGTTCATATAAGCCTTCTTTTTTTGCAAGATTACTACAAACCTGAGAGTCTCTACAATAATCAATATGTTTATGTCGACCTATGCCTTCACAAAGCTAAAATTTAAAATAAAAAATTATTAATTATTAATGAAAATTTAAAATTTGTTTATTTTAAACTAATAAGAATAATATTAAATAATTACTTTATTGCATAATACTAATTCTCTGCCTCCAATATTTAATGGATGACCTTAAAATTTTAAATTATTAATAGTAGAATATTAATCTATGACCAAATTTCAATTTTTCAAATTTAATTGGCAATACCTTCAAATTTGGACTCATCATCTTCACAGGCAAATGTAGTTAAAGACATATTACCATGAGTAGTTGCTAAAAATATTAATCAAAATAAGTCTCGAATTAAATAATTAAAATAATCAAAAAATTATATTAGAAAATAATTACAATGTTTGGTATAATATTTTTCATAATGACCATAAGGTAAAGTGCACTAAAAATTAAAAAATTAATTTGATTTAAACCATTATATCATTATTTTAATAAATTATTAATAGAAAAAAAAAATTCTTCAAGTATTAGCTTACATAGTAGAAACAATTTGGACATTTAACATCACAAAAATGAAAATCTTGGTTATACTCTTCTTCCTTAATATGTTGACCTTCATCATTTGGACAATTATCGTTACAAAGATGAGGTTTTTTTGTTTCATGAACATGCTTTCCATCATGTTCAAATTTGTATGGAGGAATTATTATACAACAAGGAAATCTTTGGAAAGTTTGAGAAGACTAGAAATAAGAGGTATTTAAAAATAATTATTAATTTTGCTTTATTAAATTTGATAAATCATTTTATCACGTACATCAGCAGTAGGCTCTGTTACTATTTTGCAAATTCCTTTTTCTTCACATTCTTTGGGACATTGATGCTCTTGTCTATAAACAAAATTGTTATTAAAGTCTTGATAAATTGGGTTTCTATGTAAAATATTATATTATATTTACCCGCAAAAATGATAAACATCCTTTTCATCTGCGTGAAAATGATTCAAACTTTCACACCTTTGCCGACAATTTACCAATGGACATTCTATTGGGCATACCTCATTTTCACATTCATGCAATTCGTGTTTCTCTTCACGCGGAATCTAGGAAAATATATATATATAAAGGAAATGATTAAAATATTTTAAATAAAGTTTACAAAGACAATATAATCATGCAAACTTACAATACAAGGATTTTTGCATTGGTATAAACCTTTCTGAGTTTCAGTTTTTAATGAGCACGGTTCTCCGCAATAATTTTCTTTGTTAGAAAGACGATTAGAATGATCTCTCAAACAAGAATGTTCCATGTCTCCGTTCTCAAAATGATAATTTGATTTGAGACATTTCAAGCCACATATGTCACATTGGATACAACACAGATTCCAAAACGAGTTAAGGTTTTTAATTTCTTGATTTAAAGCAAAATATGTGAAGACAATTTCATTATGGTCTTTTGGAAATCTTGAAACATTTTTGGAAAACCATTCATTTACACGGTTAATTCGTCTGTTGATAATAAATTTGAAAAATGTTTTTAAATAATCCACCCATTTTGAATCGGGTATAGATTCTCGAGAATAAATATTTTTTTCAAAAAATTTTATAATATCTGGTAAAGAGAAAATATTATATTAATTATAATAATTATATTAAATTTAATAAATATGTTTCGATGAATTTAATAAAAATTATACCCGATGAAATTTGTATAAAGTTTTTTTGATCGCTTAACAGTTCTAAATCAGTATCTGGCATTAATCTTACTGAACTGTTCACATGATCAAAGATTTCTGATACCAAAGTTTCATCATCAGTAATAATGTGTCTATCATCACGATTCTAAATAATTTAAATAAATAAGTTAAATAGTCATTAAATGATCAAAACAAAAAAATTAATAAAAATATATAACTTACGGTTAGCTTTCTAATGTATTGTTTTTGTTTATCAAGTTTTGTTGATTCATAGAATGGGTAATCCTTCTTTTGCTCAAATCCAAAAGAAATAACATTATTTATAAATTTTTTCAATTCATCAGTTCGCATAGTGATTAAAGTGGCTTGAATACTTCCCCAATCACATACTCTATATATAAATGGTAGTTAGTTAATTTATGACAAAATATATTCAATATTTTAATATCAACTTACTTTAGCTTAGTCATTATAACCTATGTGATAAAAAAAAATCAAACTATTAATAAAAAAATACTATTATTAAAAAAAAAACTTGAAACTTCATAAATACCTTTATTTTCTCAATAAAGATTCTAGCATGTTTGTATCTTGTTTTTTTATCATTTAATTGCTCTTTGAAACAATCCAAATTTGTGTAAAAATCTGTGGTTTGGAATTTAAATTTAATATTGAATACATATTTTGAATATTTGTATAAAAGAACCAAAGTATAAAAATTAAAAATTCAAATTACCAGATCCATTAAACACTGGATAGGGAATAATTGACATTTCATTTCCACATAATTTTGTAATTAAATTATTTTCTTTCCCCTTATAATTAAATAATTATTAAATAAAATGTTTTAATAAAACTATTAAATAAGTATTATTAATTACCTTTTCCACAATTTTTGAAAATTTCTTGTAAAATTCTTCCATGATTTCATTCCTGTCTATCACTTCTACATCCTTAATGACGATACAAAACCTTGCCTATAGTTTGAATTAATTATTAATCATTAATATATGTTTTATTGTTATAAAATAATAATAAAAGAACGACAATGTTAAATTACACCAAAGAACAGTGTGATTATCTTCCAATAAAAATGAAACACAATTCTAATTTCCGTGTGAAAAAATATTAGATGACAAATATGCTTTTCGCATATAATATACCTGAAATATATCCGAATCTTCTCCAAAATAATAAGCACCATCTTGAAATCTTTTGAACATTGATGTAATGTCTCTAGTAGCAGCAAAATCAGATTTAAATAATATAAGATCCGACACTGCTGCATTTAAAAGCAGCAAAAAAGTTTCTTCTTGGGTTGATCTTTTGCTACTTCCTAAAACAATGAAATATAATATGAATTGAGCTTGAAAACTCATATAAAATAAATTCATATTAATTTACCTTCAAAACTCTCAAAGTAAAGAGCAACATATAAAATTTCACTGGTTGTCACTGCAATAGGATAAAAATTCTAATTTATCATATATAAATTCTTTAAAAATTGGCATATGTAATCTCTATTATGTTAAAATACCTAATGACATCCAGACCCCCTCTGAGCAATGCTGTATTTTAAAAAGTTGAAAAAATTAAGGAATAAAATAAAATAAGAAAATAAATCTAAAAAAAAAATAAAAAAATTATAAAATAAATCTAAAAAAAATAAAAATTATACCATTGCAGATCCATCAAAAGTTGTCCCGAGACAGTGATTTAATAAATAACTTTTCCCTTTAAAAAATAAATAAATATAAATTCTATATTTTTTATATATAACCATTTTTTCTTAAAAAATAAAAGTCTTACCACATGATTGTTCCCCCATTGATGATATGACTTTTAACTCAAGATTAGAATAATAATCAAAAATTGCTTCATACCATCCAAAAGATATTTCCTTAAAAACATTTCCAATTGATCCATGATCATTATCAATAGCTGATCCATCCCTAAGTGGTATAAATTGGTTATCGCGAGCGATAGCAATTTGTATAGGGATAAGGCAAAAGAAATCAATAAGCCATCTAAATTAAAATAAACAAAATTAATTTCCTTTAAAAAAAAAAAAGCAAACATTTAAAAATTTATTTAAAAAAATACATACTCTCCCAATGAGTAATCAGTAAATAAATCATAATCATTATCTCTATCTTTAAGTGGAATGAAAGAAGATTTAAAATTTTTGATATGACCAAAAGGCTTTTTGGTTTCATCTTTGAACTTCTTCCACATTTTATCAAAATATTCAGAAAATTTTTCGGAATAATGATAAACGTTTTTACTATCTGAAGCTATAAAGACAGTGGGAGTTTTATCTATTTTACCAATAGGGTTATTGATAGCATATTTTGTAAAAACCATAGAATATGCATCAAGTAAATTATTAAGAAAATTTCTTGATTTGATTTTAAAATTATAAAACTTTTCAGATTCAACGGATTTAAATAAATCTTCTATTTTCAGTTCAATATCGGATTTTATTTCAGTAACAACTTGTTTTTCATCGCCAATAATTATAAAATCTCCCTTTTGAATACATTGTGTAAATTTCGTATTTTTGCCAAAAACTAAAAGCGGATGTGCATCCTCGAATTTCACTTGACCCGAAAATTTCACAACTTGTTCAAATTGATGACTTGTTTTTGGATGTGTTATTTTTACCAAAACGGATTGAAATTTTCTATTTTGTTGATCAATTGTTGTCAAATGAATTTGTTGATTGTTAAATAAAGAAAAATTAAAATCAATAGGTAAATTCGTAAAAGGAATATCTATAACTTTAATTGCATTTTTTGTCAATTTTACACAAAAATAAACATGTGCTCTAATACGATTCACGTTAATTTCTTTATCTAAAGCTCTTTCATTTGTAAATGCAACAAAACAAGTTCCATCAGGTGTACTTAGGACAAGATTTGTATTACTTGGAAGTTGTGCTTTTCCAGGTTGAAAATTAGAATTATGTAAATTATAGATTCGTGCTTGACCATTTCTTTCAACAAAACATATATTATCCGTATTTTTCATGAAAACAAAATGAACAATCTCTGGTACATTATTATTGTACCATTGTTGCAAGGATATATTTCGATATTGAAGAAATATCCCAGTTTGCTCCCGGTTATAACTATAAACATTTAACTAAAAAAAGTATAAAAAGAAAATTAATTATTTACATACAATTATTATCAATTTTAAATTATTTTTTTTATTAAAACTTACAGATCCTCTGACAGTTTGATAAAATGCAATTAAACATTTAGGTTCATTAACTGCCACCATAAATTGGTCAGAATGTTCTAAATAAAGTTTCTTGAAAGCAAATTGTGTGCGTAATGCATCTGAAATTCTTTTAATATCGCCAAAATAAAGTTCTAAACGCGTTTTAGCTTTATTCCATAGAAAAACTAGAAATTTTTTATCAAATTGAGCAATTTGTCTAAAAAAGAAAAAATAAATATTTAAATATCAATTATGATATATTTCAATCAAACTTAAAAAAAAATGCATACTTGAAGTCATAAGTTTCAGAGACAATTTCAAACGAATCTTTACCCTGAAAAATAGGCTTTGGAATGAAGTTTTCATTTATTTTCATCTTAGATTCATCAGATTGATCTAATCGGATTTCATGTAAACTGATTGCAACTTTAGCGGGGTGATACTTTTCAATCCTGCATTTCATTTTGAAAATCTTATGATCTTTTTTTTTCAAAAGTTAAAATGATTATTATTTTCGATAGAATAATTTTAAAATATGCATGATATTTACCTTTGTCTATATCATTGATTATCAATAGGCTATTAGAAGGATTCAATTTCTCAATGTAATCACAAATAATTTGCTTCAGTTTAGCAGGTAAAATTTGTGATTTCCATTCTTTATACACTTCAAAAAACCGATCAACAATTTTTGGATTATTAATATTATGAATAGTATAAACAAATTCTTTGTCAGGAATAGTAATTGCTTCATTTTTAATTTCTAAAATAAATTCAGAAACTTCCGAGTCATTTTTTTTAGAATACTTTTTTATTAAATTGAATTGGTCAACTTCTTCATCCAGAACTATATTTTCAACACATATGTTGAATAATATATCGCTTTCATGAAGATTTAGAGATTTGACATGTTTTTGAGCAAAAATGTATCGCTTTTTAAGTTCAATCCAGTCATGATGATCAATCTTTTCAATTTCAGCTTGAAATTTTTCTTGAATTTCAGAAGCTATCATTAAAAATAATTAAAGAAATAAGCATGTTCATTTTTAATATTTTTTTATATGTTTATAAGTAGAAGAAAATAAATTAAGATAACTCACATTTGATCGAAATATTTTCGATAATTAATTGAGTCTCAA